TGCTCCGCGTTGTGCCCCGCATCCGTCACGTTGAACGCATCGCGGACACACTCATACGTATGCGCACTGGAGCCCTGGGTTTGTTTTTCTTTTCTTTTTAATTTCTGTTTTTTAATTATTGTTTTTTATTGCTTTTTAAACTTCTGGTTTGCGGTGCGGTGTGCGAGCTCTGCAATCGTACTGATTCCATCTGTCTCGTGGTGTGTGCGCTGCTGTTGCTTTGCTGCCATTTGCTGCTGTGCGTGGTTTAGCGGCTGTGTTTATCTTTTTGCTTCCCTCTCCGTTGACGGGGAGTTAGTTTGTGCTGAAGGCTGCACGCAAGTGACAGGAGTGATGGCGATGATGACTGGCCGTGTGCTGCTGGTGTGTGCCCTCTGCGTGCTGTGGTGCGGTGACGAGGGTGTGGGATCTCCTGCTGGTGGTGCTGGCGGTTTACTTGGGAATGGTGGTAAAGGTGCGGTGGAGACTACTGATAATTCAACGTCAGCACCAGACGGCTCAGATCTAACAAAAGGTTTGCCCAAAGTTAATCAATCAACAGAAACATCTACAGGAAAATCTTTGGAAGTAGACGAAGTTAATGCTGAACAACAGGATGTTGCTCCTGAAGTGGAGGATGAAGATGGAAGCCCTTCAGACCATTTAGAAGAATCATTAAAAGATGATCCAGATCAAGGAAAAACAAAGCCAGAAATACAAAATAAAGGACAGGAAGGAAGACAAACGCCACAATCGCAAGTAACTGTACCACAGTAACCGCAGCCACTATTACATCAGTCACAACCGCTACCGCCATCAGCGCCTCAGCCAAAACCTTCTGCTTCAGAAAAGGGTGAAGGTGTTGGCGAGAACAATACGGGTGGAGAAGGTCAGCCCTCATTGAGAGTAGAAAATAAGGGAAACGAGGATCCAAAGAACCCCAGAAAAGGAAACTCATTAAATGATCCAGGTAAAGAATCAGAAAACAGTGAACAGGTTCAAACGACAGTGCCAAACACAGTACCGCCGGAGCACAAAACCCAAAATGGAATGTTAACTCCGGAACAAATGACGAATGAAAGCCAAAGCACGGATACATCCACGAACCTACCCGAAATACAAAAGGAAAATAAGGAATATCCTGCCTCTACGGAAGTTACGGCGCAGAGTACATCAACTGGCAGTCAAGAACAAGAAGCTGAGCCATCTACAAGCGAAGAACCTTCCCCTTTTGAGGAAGAACAATCCACAGGGACGAAGACAACCGAGGATGCTCGAACTCCGGATGCTGCGGCGATAGAAAAAAGCCAAACCGGCGATAATGAAAAGGTTGGCGACAGTGACGGCAGCACCACAGTTTCCCACACCACTTCCTCTTTTTTGCTTCTTCTTCTTGTTGTTGCGTGTGCGGCTGCGGCTGCGGTGGTGGCCGCGTGAGAGTGAGTGAGAGAGCGCCATGCACCGCCCGCACACACACTCGTCCTTCACTCACTCTCTGTGTGTGTCCCCTTGCATGGACTCTCGCCCTCACCTCATCCCACGAAGCACACACATAATGTACCCATTGTATATATTGCATGCACACCCATGCAGGCCCGTTGGTGCTCTCTTTTGCACGACACGCACCGCTGCCGTCCTGCCTGGCTGCATGGGCGGAGCACCGTAACTGTTTCTGTTTTGTTTTTATTGCATTGAGTGGGCGACCTCTCTCTCTCTCTCCCTGTGTGTGTGTTTTGCTTTACGGGAGCAATGAGAGTGTGTGCGCTGGTCGTCCCACGCTTCGGCTTTTTGTTTTGTTTTCTGTTTTTCTTCTTTGAGTCTCTGCTTGTGTTGTGGGTGCACGCACCGATTGCACTTTTATTGATTGGTGGGTTGCTTTTTGGACGCCTGATTTTTTTTTTTGCATTCTTATACGGTTTCTCTCTTGTTATTAGTGTGTCAGCCCCTTGTGTCTTTGGCAAGCCACCAATTGCTCTCCTCCAAATACACCTTGCGTCAGTTGATCTACGTCACCCCGCGGCCTGCAGCGCTTCTTGTGCTGCTGTTGATGTTGCCTGCGATGTGATTTGCCGGCGGATGTCTTGCTGTCAGCCTGACGTATCCCTGTTTTCTTGTCGATGTGGTGCCTGCCGACAACGCGCGGCAACTCCGGTTGTGGTGAGGGTCGTGCGTCTCAAAGCGCAGGATGCGTCGCGGGTGTGCAGCCTCGCTTGTAAGCACCGATGGGTGTCTGTCCCCGTGAAGACGTCATCAACGGCCCCGGAGGACAGCAGGAGGCACTGCGGCATTTTTTTGTGTTCCACAGCGACTTTATTGGACGGTACTTTTGCTTTACAGCACTTGGGGCGTTTGTGGGAGAAGGTGGGAGGGTTGAGGGCATGAGGACTGAATTCATTTGAGCGGCTGCGTTCCGTTGACTTGCGGCCAGTCGTGGCACTCTTTTGGGGTCTGGCCGCCCGTCTCTTTTTTTTACTTCCCGTTGCAGGATGTGGAGGCCACTGATCCGAGGAACATTTGTTTGACCAAGTGTGAGCCGCTGCCGTGCGTGGTGCATGGAGTGACGACTACTTCTGTTTGGCGTGTCGAGGTGTGTCGGAATGATGTTTGGATGACTTGTGAGGGGTGTTGTTTGTAGTTTTGTGTGTCTTCTCTGGTGGAGCCGACATGTGTGCGGGGATTGTGGCATTGCTGGCTGGCAGTTCCCCGTCACTTTTCAGCATTTCTGGATGTGCTGAGGAATGACGGCTGGCGAACAGCGTGTTGTTGCTGCTGGTGGGAATAAGTGCATCAGGAATAGGCCATTTTCTCTTTTCCGTGCTGGAGCCGATGAACTGGCACGAGGGCACCGGCTGCAGGCTGCCTGCCAGCACGTGTGAGCAGCGGATGCATGCACACACAGACGCTCATCGCAATGGCTTGTGCGATCACAGTGGCCTTTTGTGGCGTGCTTTTATGGACGTCAGCCCATCGAAGAATGTGTGAAGCAAACGGCTGCCTGCACACGAGGAAAATAAGTGCGTGCACTGTGCCGTGTTTCAGTGTCGATGGCAGAGCGGCAGGAAGCCCGTGCTGGCAACTGAGATCTTTGCGTCGCGAGGGATGTCGGTGTTGATTTTGGATTGTCGAGGGAGAAATGATTTTGCTGCTGCCCGTGTGTGTGGCCACTCCGGCAGAGGGCGGACACAAAAGGGAGGGATGCAGGCGCTGCGTGTGTATGTGCAGGTGCCATGCAAAAACGTCACAACAAACATGCTGCGACTCGGTGACCCTCACATCGCTGTGGTCCTCACGAGCGGCCCAGGCACGGCACACACCGATGCGCTTAGTGGACGGAGTGAGGCATCTTTTGAGGCGCTGCAGGGAACAGGATGTGTTGACGCAGCCACGACGTGCATGGAGTGTCACGATGGCACAGTCAGCTGTGGCTGGTGGAATATTTACTTCTCGGAGGCAACAGAGAGAGAGAGCTGCACCTGCTGCTGGGGTCGTTGCTGCCTTTTGTGGCCTCCCATGCCGATTATTGTCTGTCCGCTGATCATGGGTGGCATGCCTCCACTAGTGACGTCGTCTGCAGGCATTTCACAGCACCAGTGAAACACACATCACGTCGCATGCTTTGGCTGTGGATATGGTGTCGTGCATGCAGCCGGCATTATTTTGCCCGACTCCTTTTCCTGCTCTGCGACAAATAGATGCGTCGCCGCCCGAGTCATTCACTGCAGCTCCGTGTGCTGTGCTGCCAGCACAATACTCTCTTGTTGTCTGGCGCCTGGCTGACAGTCAAATACCACTGCGTTGGGACATGCAAGGATGTGGACTGCCGCTCACGGTGTTGGGCACCGCTGTTTGGATGCGGCGGCCACACGAGCGGATGTATTGTGGCACAATCAAATGCGTGAAATACACGGAGTCACAGCGGCTGCAATAATATTGACGGTGTGGCACCACGGGGAATGTGTGAGGGGGTGATGCATGATGAATCACAGCGGGCGGCATGCGAGGGAAGTGCACCGCGACGGAGCGTCATCCCGCCCTCAGCCTGCAGGGGAATGTGCACCCACAAAATATATGGACGAGACACCACCAAACAGACATGCCCTTCCATGCACCAATAAATAAGAGCGAAGGTGCGTTCTGGTGCGTGGGAGTCCACTCACATATTTTCATTTCCACCGCAATAAACGGTGAGGAATCATGTGCCACAGCAACGAAAGAATAAATAAAAACATCTATTGCAGCACCTTACCAGCGAAAAGCAGGAACAACACAAACCGAATTATTGGCTGCACCAACACAAGAAAAAAATGCACAAGAGGAAAAAAAACAAATTGTGTACCCTGCGGAAGTCCCAACACACGATCCAGGCATGAAGGTTTGTACTCCACAAAAAATCAAAAACAACAAAACATATGCACACATCTGCCAACATCCAAACGGAAACACAATAGATGTTTGCTTGCATTATTCCATTCCTTGCGCTTGTTTTTATGTGTGGGGCTGCTGCGGTGGTGGCCGTGCCTGCATGAAGTGGAGTGCGATGAATGTGGGCGAAGGCCTACGGCAACTGAACTGTTTTTGTGATGAATATTGGTTGCACTTCCCGTGGACCAACAATCCGCGTGGTGTGCGGGGATCTCCTTTTTATTGTTACTATGCTTTTGTGTTGCTGTGTGCGCTGCACCTTCTTGTGTGTGTGCGCACCCTCCGTGAGGGGTGCCGACACGACGGACCGCTCTCGCCGCATGCACATGCGGTGGAGCCTTGTGTGCCGCTCCTGTTTGCTTCTCCCTCCTCCATCTGTGTGTTGTGTTGCGGCAGGGCTGCGTGTGTGTGTGCCTGCTGCCGTGGATTGGAGTGTGTGTCGTGCGTGGTGTGCGGCGTACGGTGCATGCCTGGCTGCTGTCCTCTCCTCATGTGGTGTGTCCTCTGTGTGTGTCTGCCGCACCTCTCCTCTCCCCTGTTGCTCTCCATTCCCCTCACTGTGCAGATCAGCTCCACACCACTGAACGACCACACTCACGATGATGATGACGTGCCGTCTGCTGTGCGCCCTGTTGGTGCTTGCCCTGTGCTGCTGCCCATCCGTGTGTGCGTCAGGGGATGAGCCTGAAGGCTCTTCCAAAACGACCACGAAGAATACAACACAGCCACCAGTTACTAATGACAAGGCTAATATTCAAGCTGTTGGAAAAGTCGTCGGTCAATCGTCCCTCCAACTAGAGGGAGCGCAGGGGAAAGGTCACTCAGGACCGTCTGCACCACCAGTGACTAATCCGGCTGTGAAACCAGAAGATGACGGAGCGGGACAGAGTACGACCGGTACTTCACAGGCGGATGGTAACGATGGTACGACAGGGTCACAAGGTAGCACGGGACAACCCGCGGATCAAGCAAATGGGAATGCCGAAGGTGGTGTTGACACGACCACTACGACCACTACGACCACGACCACCACAACAAAGGCACCAACCACGACGACGACTACCACTGCGCCAGAGGCACCAAGTACTACGACTACAGAGGCGCCAGCTGTGTCGACCACCCGCGCACCGTCAGGTCTTCGCGAAATCGACGGCACCCTCAGCAGCTCTGCGTGGGTGTGTGCCCCGCTGGTGCTCGCCGCATCCGCGCTGGCGTACACCACTCTGGGCTGAAGAGGTGTGTGCGGGCTGTGCGTGCCAGCACCCAACCGCGGGGATTTGTGCGCGTGTGTTGTGGTCCACTGTATAAAATAAGAGGAAATAATGATTGTGTTTTGCTTCACTTGCTTCTGCTGCCGTGCTGTGTGCTCCGCGTTGTGCCCCGCATCCGTCACGTTGAACGCATCGCGGACGCACTCATAAGCATGCGCACTGGAGCCCTGGGTTTGTTTTTTTTTTCTTTTTAATTATTGTTTTTTAATTATTGTTTTTTATTGCTTTTTAAACTTCTGGTTTGCGGTGCGGTGTGCGAGCTCTGCAATCGTACTGATTCCATCTGTCTCGTGGTGTGTGCGCTGCTGCTGCTGGGGTGCTGCCATTTGTTGCTGTGCGGTGGCTGTGCGTGGTTTAGCGGCTGTGTCTCTCCTATTGTTTTTCACATGCTATCGCAGGTTGGCTCCGCAGCGTTAGGCGAATCCACTGTTCGTGATGATGACTGGCCGTGTGCTCTGCGTCCTGTTGGCTCCTGCAGTGATGCGCAGCTGCTCGTGCGTGTGAGTGACGGCTGCTGCGACGGGGTGCGTGTGCGGCCGCGGGTGATGGCGCGGTGGCTGCTGGGCACGCGGAAGCTGTGATGGCTGCGGAAGGTGGACCCGTGGTCGGTGGCTCTGGACGAAAGGGGAATGTGAACTCTGAGGACAATAGCAATCAGGAAGACGAGGAGGGTGGAGGAAGCACCGCGGGTGAGGGCCACAATCCCACCTCGGCAGGACCACTCACTGCTCCGACGAGGCAGGACCAATCCAGCAGCGACCCACTGCGAAGTAACACTTGCAATCTGTCCGGCACTGGCAGCGCGTCTGCTGCTCGGATGCGTGCAAGTGGACCGGAGTCTTTGGGCGGAGGGCACGCTGCAGGCACAGCATCCCCACGCTCCGACGCATCTCAGCAGGCAGCAGGTGGAGTGCATGCTGGTGGCGGGAGGACCTCCCAGGGCAGTCAGGCTTCGGAACAAACCGTCATGGGACAGTCACAGGTGCCAGGGACGGCGAAGGAAGCACCGCAGGGCGATGAAGGAGGAGAACCCGGAGCACAACACGAAGCCGACCAAACCACAAAAATGACTGTGGTGAATTGTTGCGCAAAAACAGCGGTGGAAGAGGAGAGCCGCCAGCGGGATCGCAAGATGCACCACGTCTCTATAGTGGCGGGAATGCTCATTATTATTATTATTCCGTGCTCTTACCGACCTGTCTAGCCACACGATGTCACCAGGGTGCCGAGGAGGTGGTCGAGCAGCGACATGAGTTTCCTGCTATGAGGCAGCTGCCATTGGGAGAACCTTTCGGTGCAAAGGTCCTTCTTAATGCCCAGCCGTTGGCGCACAGCCAGAGCGTCTGTACATTCTGGAATCAGATGGTGCAGTGTTTTCTGCGGGCTAATTGTTGCGCTTGTGGAGGCTGGCTGATCCTGCGGTAGCAGTGATTGTCTTCTGGCACTGCTGCTGCGGTGCCGATCAGCGTCTGAGTTTTGTGCGCAGCGATATTTGTGCTGTGCGGTGCTTTTTTTTGTGTGGGGAAGACCGTGTCGCAGCAATCGCGGTGGAGGTTGGGAAGCGGTGGAGGGCGTTCCGGATGAAGGCACCGACAGTGACCGATGTGGTTCTTGTGTCCCACCAGTGTGGCGTCACAGTGCGGGAATTTCTTCTTCCGACGCCGTGTGGAGGGCCGTCTCTCCACAAGCGGTGCGTCGGCCTCCCTTGTCGTCGGGGGAACAGCTTCCGTCCCGGTGCAGTGGGATCGTCGTTGGAGCGCATGAGAGCGGAGTGTTCCGGTGAGATGTTGCAGAAACGGCGTTGGTTCGTGCAGTCTCTCACAGTCCAGTACAGGCGACCCCAGAGCTCGGATTCCCCGCACTCTGCTCATGCAGTGTTTATCCGTTCCTGTTGGTTGAGGGCTTCCTGAGTAATCAGGTGCTTGCCGCCTGGATCTGATGGCCTGGCGCCGCCAAGCAGGTAGTGGTGGGTGTCCTGATGCATGGTACTACGCCACTTGTTGGTGAGCTGGGTGTTAATGCATGTCAGCAGGTCCCTGCGCCATATGGGTGCTATTCCATGTTCCGTGTATTGCCCGGTTGCCGTGGTCTGCGTCTAATGATCTGCAGGCTCGTTAACATGTACTCCGCGATGTTTGTAACAAAACTGCAGCTGCACGGACCAGCCAGCACGCGTCAGTGACAAGAGACGCTGCCAGATCCGATCCTCCGTCCAGTCGGTGTGGCTGCGCGGGCCCTTGGTGACGGCGGCTAGAAGGGAATGACTGTCTGTAACCACAAGCAGGGTTTTTGCCTGTGTTGGATACGAGGGATAATCAGCATTTCCATGGCCGGGAGCAGTGCACTGGACTCCGTCGTGCGGCTGCATGGGCGTGTGCCGCATTTGGTACTGGCCTTTTCTATTATCTTCGAGGAATGCAGGGATGAGAGCAGTATGCCAATCGCTGCTGAATTGGGAATGTCAACACCGCCATCCGTTGCGAGTATCCACGGTCCCCAGCGATGATGTTGCGCCTTGTCGCGGTGTTGAGGCTTTGGTTGCGTATAGGAACTCCGCAGCAGGGCGTTGCTGCGAGCACGACGGAGACCAAGGTGACTTCACCCCTCGAGAAGGTTCCGCGCCATGCCCGGTGTGGGGAGGTGAGGCGGTCTGCCTGCAGACTGTCGGACAGAACTGCACGACCGTTTCGCAGCGGTCACTCCGTTGATATCACCCGTGGCGGTGACGTCCACAAGAACCATGGCCCGAGGTGGATGGCTTCATCAATATTAGGCAGCTTAACATTGCAGGCCTCTCGTCCGTGAAAAATATTGCATTTGCTGCGCGATTGGAGCAGCGTCCACCTGACATCGTTCTTCTGCAGGAAATAAGTAACCGTGGTGACGTTGCGACGAAATTATCTGGCCATAATGACTACCTTCAGGCCCGCACTGGGCGCGGTGGTGGTGTTGCCGTTCTGGTGCGCCACTCTCCACCGTGCGAGCGCCTGTCGCTCCCTGGCACTGACCTCCTGGAGACCATTGCTGTCCGTGTATTTCCGCCAGGCTGTCCCAACATTTGCGTGGCGAATCTCTACAACCCTCACACAACAATTGGTCAATAATACGCATTTATCAATATCGTTTGTCGCTTGGGCCCGAAGCGATTATCGCGGGTGACCTGAATTTACATTGTGAACTCTGGTACAGTCATATATAACATCAACGACTGGAGGCGATAATTTCGCCGCTGTTCTAATCGATATGGATTTTGGGCTGGCAAATGACCCGGCGCAGGCAACACGGATCACACATCGTAATGCCTCGTCCCCTGACGTGACTGCGTATTGCGCTCTACGCATCTCCCACTCGACATTCGCCCCTTACATAAACTCGGACCACTGCTTAATATCTTACTTGGTAGAGATGGATGATGGCACTCCACGACTAGCAAACACGCTGCCTTGACGGACGAAAGCCACCTTTGCCCTGCGTAAAGCGGGTTGGCCTGCTTTTACATCGTTGTGTGAAACCCTCCTTGCCACCGCGTCCACATGGTTGGATCTTTGCGGAGGCATCTTACGAGCAGCTGAGCACCATATCCCGCGCGGCGGCCGTGGAAGCCCCAAAAAAGACATGGACACACGAAATGGAACAGGCCGAGTCCGCCGCCGAAGCAGCACACGAAGCACACACATTGCCTCACCTGGAGACAGCCTACTTTGAGCCGAATGTACCCGAAAAAAGGAGGAACGAAATCAAGCCTTACGCCGTTGCTCCGCTGTGCTTTTGGAAGCCCGCGCGAAAAAACGTGGAGCCTCACCCAGCCCGAGCTGGCGATATCTTCACGGCATGGCGGCGCCGCACCCTCATCCTCTGGAATCGGTTGTGCTCCGCACTGAACTTGACCGCGTATGCGCCCTGCCTCGGCAACAGGCAAATCTGCTTGTCCGTCATTTTGTGCGGTTTCACGTGCCGTACCGCCTTATACTGCTGCTGCTGCTCGCTGCACTCCTTTGGTTCCTGGTGGCTGGGAAATTGATCGGCCTTTCCCGCCGTATGAACTTGACGTGACCATCCGTGACTCTTTGCTTGGCTCAGCCCCCGGCCCCGACGACATGTTGAATGAATTCCTGCACCGTCTCGTGCCCGTCGCGTGTGGCACACTTAGAACGATGATCCACAACTCCTTCGCAAATGGCAGCCTGCGTGGCTCCTGGAAAATGGGAGACGCTATTCCTATCCCCAAGCCTGGGAAGGATCCATGCCGCCCAGAGAGTCACAGACCTATCACGCCACTCTCTGTTTTACCAAAGTTAACCGAAGGAGTGATTCACCGCCGTCTGTCAGCGTTATTGCCGCACCACCCACGTCAATTTCGGATTTACACCTTCGCGTTCTGCATCTGACGTGATGGGACTTGTTATCGACAAATTACTCGTGGATTGAATGAGTTTGGCATTGTGGAGTATGAGCGCCCTGGAGACGACGCCTCCACACGACACGCTCGTTGCCATCGCTCGCTCGTAGTTTTGATTGATTTTCCGACTGCGTTTGACACCACTGACCATGGGAAGTTATTCTGCATGCTTGACAGACTTCCGTGCCTTGGCCCTCGAACCAAACACTGGCTGCACAACTACCTGCGGGGCCGCTATGTTAGGGTATGCACTCGCGAACAGCACTCCCGGAAACAACTCGCCTCAGCTGGAGTACTGCAAGGCGGCGTCCCGGGACCCCAACTCTTCCTCTACTGTGTGGATGGTCTGCTGCGCCGCCTGGGCAACATCTACTCTGCCTCCGCATTCATGTACGCTGACGAACACACACTTGTTGCCTCAGGTGCGGACATCCATGCCTGTGCTGCGGCAATGCGACCGCTCTTGTCTCTTGTGGCCACATGGGCTGCCGAGCACAGCCTAAAAATCAACGTTGATAAGAGCGAAGCTGCTCTATTCTACATCTCTTCACACACACACGGT